TTATACAGTTCATGCTGCTGTTCTTCATGCAAACAGAGTAGCAGAAGAAAAGAAGGCTGAGGACTCTGCGGTGTAGATTGACAGGAGGAAATGGTTATTTTCCTTTCGCCTACGTGCTTAAAAGTGATTGTAGGCCATAACAATGGTGGCTTGGGTAGCGCTGAAAGAATAACAGGGGAACTTTGCTCATAAAACAAAGAGGTACGAAGAGCAGACTTAGCAAAATGAAGAATATGTGCATATAATTGTATCCCCTGGAGTAATGACGAATGATGCTTGTTTTGGGATAAATTTGAAGGTCCAAAGAACTGGTTTGTAAAAAGCTAGTAAATACACATGCTGATGAACAAATTGTGTTTGAAAAATTTCTCTCAATGTTAAAGTTCTATTTTTCTAAAAAGCAACTAAAGGTTGGAAGGGCAAGTGATTAAAATCATTTCACTAGTAGCCCTTAAATCTGTCCGTGTGTTTTGCTCCGCCAGGTTTCGACTTTTGCTCTCCTTTTTTTCTGCATTGTTACAGATTTTAATCTATTACCAACGCAAAGGACTGAGTCACTGGTGGAATATTATTTCGCTTTCTCCTATGGAGTCTCTCCTTCCTTCCTTTCTGCACAAGGGAAAGGAACTCAACTAAAGGCCAAGCCAAACACACCTATGGTTTTTTACCCAAGAGAGTGCCTGTGCATTATTTTTAATTGTTAAGTGTAGATGTGTTCAACATTTTTAAGAAGTCTGACTAGACGTATTTTGGAATTGCTTTAAGAATCTTGCCAGAGCATTAAAAGAGGTATTAAAACAGATATAGCACTCGGAAATTTCTGCAGTTAGGTTAGTGTTTAACCAAACTGGATCATTGTTCAATATATGTTCAAGTAAGAATGAGTGACTTTTGTTAGTGATTTATGAGTTTTCCACCAACACTTGTGGAAAAATAAAAGCAACTTAGAGAGAACATACAAAGTCCACATAGTCTTTACTCCACACCTTCAGAGTCCAGACTTGCAAATTTAGCCATTTCCTTGCGTGCCAACTGTCGCCTTAGCTATAAATTATTTCCTAACAGCTGGTTAAACTCTTCCTGCCTAGCAGAAGAGAACAAGGACTTTGCTCGTCCTGAGAACCTTGCATTTAGAACCGGGTCAGTAGAGCACTCTTGTGCACATGCCTTGTTCTGAACAGTCAGCAGGAGCTTTAAAAGAGTGTTTGAGTGTTAGATCTTTTGGTGCTTTTAAAATGTTTTGAATTTTTACTAAAGAATCCAGTGGCAGCAGGTGATGTCTCCAGTGTATTTTGTCAAATTTTTTTAAACTTTTAGTTTTTTTAATCAAAAACTTTGTGACTAGTGAATAAGCTCAAACTGTTATTTTTACTTTTTTTTGTTAAATTACTGTTTTTCATTGTCTCTTATCCTGTTGAGATCAAGACTGATAGCACGTCTAACTGTACAATGTGAAAATTTTACAATAATATGCAGACATGATTGTAAATATGGACTGCCTTTTTATTTATATAAATTAATTAGTAAACTCTTCTACGCATTAATTTAATTTAGGTTTAGAGGTCTGTGTGTAATTGTGACTTCCTGTTTTTTTTTTTCGGCATAGCAATTCGGCATTCAGAAAAATATTGTAATATTCAGTACTTGGAATAAAATTAGTCTTTAGTAAAGCAAGTGTATGAGTCTAGACTCTTTTATTAAATGGGGTTCCTCAGTATTTTGCAGTTTGGATCTAATTTGGGGGAAACTGGTATTTTCATTGTCAATCTGGCAAGTTTAGACCATATCGGATATTTATTTATTTGTGTCGTTTACTCTCTGCTCACTGGATGATAATCCTTTTTCAAAACACTCTTTGTGAACCCAGTAAATGCTTGAGAGTGAAAAAGCTAGTCTATCCTAAAATACTTTGTCCGGTCCATTTGGCACCAACAGCCTTGCTGTCTTCAAAGTCACTTAGAAGTTTAGATGCCGAAATGCTTGAACTGCTGCAGTCTTATTTCAGTATTAAATAAATGAAAGCTCAAAATAATAACTAGGAAGGAAAGCACCACACATCCACAATCTTTCCAATAAGACATTTAGAAACAGTCAGCTGTACATAACTAACCATTAGGTGCCGAGTTAACAACATAATCATCATACTTTCAAACACTGAAGTCATGTCTGGTGAATAATAATTCCCCCTAACCACTACCTTTTCTGACTTCAAATGAGAAACTTTAGAAAATGTGATCCTCCAAACAGAAACCACATACCTGTTTGCAGTTTACTGACGCCAAGTATGCAGGTATCATCCAAGAGGTTCATCTTTCACTTATTAACGGTAAACAAGCTGAGAAGAAGCTCGCTGTGCATCCTTGCGGTCAATGATTGATTTACCTACGTGTCAATGTACAGCCGGCGTAATTAAAGCAACACACAGACGGAGTGAGAGCCCAACATGTTTACCAAGACAAGAAAGGATTGGTTATGATTAACAAAATGGTACCAATGGTACCAGCCAATGTTTCTAGCCAAGGTTGTGTCAAATTGTTCTAATAATAATGGCATCATTTTAATCTGACGTTTGGTATCTTAATGATTTGAGTTTCTTTTTTGCAATGGAAACAACTTACATTACTAAATAATTCCATATTTTTAAAACTATAATTTTTTGTGGATTTTCTACGACATCTTTGATACAAGTTTTTGTCGCTATCAACAAGATTCTGGCATAACTGGTAGAAACAGTGGAGGCTCTTTAATGAATCTGGTTTTAGGAATGGTCAGCACATTTTTGTCTAATGTTCATCAATTTCAAAACTATTCAATGTGTGTTTTGGATCAATGTCTTGATGGAACATTCAACTATATTGTGTTTCAACCATCTAACCTAAATGTCCTCATCCTGTGTCTTCCTCCATTCAAGGAGAGGCTGGCGACAGCTTCAAGTTTGACTGAAGTCTGTTTCCTAAAAGAAAAGTGGTCAAATACTTAGCCAGCATTGCTCAATGACAGCATCAAAATATTATCACAGTGAAACCTGCTAAATGAAATTTAATCGCACACTCGTGAATGTGTGTTTATAATTTGAACCTTTTTGAGAATGTCTAGATTACACAAAATCCTCAAATGAATTTAAATGTCCACTTAATTCTTCTTTTGAAATTCATTGAAGTTGTAAAGTCATTCCCCTCCGGAAATAGAAACATGTGATACGAGGTTAAATCAGCCATGTCGTGCAGGAGCGCATGTGTTTAACATGCATGAAGGGAGCTGGTAGTCAGTTGATAAGATAAAGACATATGTAATTCACAATGTCACCTCCCGCCTAAAGCTAAGAAACATGGGACAATTAAGTTTTTTTCATCAATTAGTAACCCTTTGACAACCAAATATGCTTATACACAAAGAGGGATAACTTTATTCCTTGTGAATCAAATTAGGGACACTATTTCTCTTGGACAAAGGTAGAGACAATGACTCTGTCCAGGTAATTCACTGATTTCCCACAACTCCGGAGGATGACGGTGCTTCCAACCCTTCCACTAAGACTGAGCAACAAAAAAAAAAGAAGCTCATTCCATTCACTCGTATCTGGCATCTCGTTTTCTTCTTTTCATAATCAATATCCGTGGACCATAGATAAGGCTGGAATGAAGATGAGCTGGTAGACTGAGACCTGAAGTTTATAACTCAGCTCCTACCTTACAGTGACAGAGCACTTTACTACAGACAAAACCCTAATTAGTCTAGGAATCGTCTGCTTTTTCACCGACGCATAAAACACTGAGATACTGGAACAACTTCGATTGCATGAGAGACTGAGAAGTCCACCGTTTTTCAGTTGAGTACCAAGAGTTCAAACTTGGAAGAGGTGACTGTCATTCTGGCTGAAAAACACTCCAGAGCACATGTCATGTTATGGCTCCAGATGCAGAGGGAAATGCATCATCTGCAAACAGCACAAGGCTTTCCAATCTGGACGTCCTCGTCACCATGACTAGGATTTGAGATCCTGTCTGTATCTCAAACAGCATCTCTGACGTTAGGGAATCCAAGTCACCGAACAAGCTGGACTGCGGGCCATTATATGCAGACATATTCCTGCTTTTGTCATAAAATAAACCAGTAAAAAAAAAAAACTGCCAAAATGTGAAGTTAAAAACAGTTAATCCTTATTGGTAGCGCCAAAATTAGAGATCAAGTCGGAGAATGTCTCTAAAACTTAATCTCTAGCATTTTCTGGAGCATATACAGTCTAACTAAATTTAAGGCTAATGCAGGAAATATCAGCAATAATGCACAACTCTTCAAACACTGCTTCTGTATTTTAACAAAGCTTTTGTTGATTAGAACTTACAGACTGTATTTCAGGTTCTGTTGTTTATCTCAGAACGCATTTTTCCATAGTTTTGAGATAATTCATTCTTTTAAATTTGCGAAGAACATTTTCTGGGATCAAACTGTGTGTATGTGAGAACTGTCATGTTTTATATCGTCAGTGTTTTCAGAGTCCAGTAGATGTGAATGATTACTGAAACTGAGGGAAAATGAATTTTTTCACAGTGAACTTTTAAGACAACTTCAATGTTTTGAATATATTTTGCATATATATTAAACACATTGCTGAAGTTGGCACTACAGTTCAGCACTGAGCTAAAAAGTTATTTTATAGCTTTTTTGAGAAACTTTTCATCCTCCTGAGATACTCTCAGTTCTTCATAGTTTAATCTCTTTTATGGAGTTATCTTTACAAAGATTTACTCAATTATATTTTTCTAAGTACCTCGTAACTTGAAGTAACTCTTTATAATGTGAATCTTCAGGTAAACAACTCCCAATATGTTAAAAAGTTAAAACCTGAAATCACCTGTTTCAGTTCTGCCCTCTGCTGTTCAACAATGGAACTACAGCCTTGTTGAACCCAACATAAAGATGGAAGATTTATTTGATCCTTTTTCATTATTATAGTTTTCCTTGGACAAAAGAACAATCCTGACACCCATATCTTTGTTCTTAAACACTTTATTTGTTCAAATGTTCAAAAATATTTTTTCACAGATGAACTGAAACAAATGTTCATCTCATCTCATTGATCAGTGCTTTTTCCATCATAACACAAGGAAATATAAACACACAAGAGAACATTCAAGAAAACTGTTTGCATTGTATGGGAAGACAGTTATTTATTTTGCTATCTGTCCATGAATTCAGCTCTGCAGTTTGCAGCAGTAAGAGTTTTTTATAGTGCATTCATTTTCATGGTTTTTAAGTTAAAGAAACATTTTGTTCTAGTTTGTGAGAAACAGTAAAAACACAGTACAGTTACTCAAAGATAAGGCAAATGAAACACGAACAGGGCTAAATGTGCAAAAATAAAAACATTTAATGCTTGTTCTACTAAGATCTCATTTTATGCAAGAGCAAAAAAATAATGAACATAGGTAGTTTCTGTTTTCCACTGGCCTCGTTCAAGCAGGAATAAGGAAACAAGTTTTACAAAGCGGAAATTAAAGGATTTTAGAGGCTGTAGAGTAAATTCAATTATTTTTAAAAGGTCAATATTATTACAATTTATACCAATCAGTCTGTAATTGATGCTTGCAAAAGCGAAGAGGCTTTTACTTGTCTTCTGGGCTCCATTTACCTTGCAGATGAACACATAAATAAGCTGCTGGACACACAAAACATGTTCTTCCACATCTGATCTTTTTGATCTTGTCTGTATTTTAACTGAGATGTATTTGCATTTTTGTTTAATTTAGTGGAAACCCAGAGATTTAAATCAACAAAACTTCCATCAGCTTTTCAAACAGAGTAAAGATTTCAGCGCGGTTCTCCATTGGTATATTTCTGTGTTCATCTTAAATACTATAATGATTTGTCGTTTACATTCATAGTCTGTTATTTCAGTAATCTTGATAAAACTTGAACCAATCCTAAAAAAAATATTCTTCAGTTTGCAACTTAAACATGGAGAGCTAAGGTGCATGCATAAACATAACTGAACTGCACTTAAAGTGCAAACATGCAATTCAAATGATCTTTTTGAAGTTATCCAACTTACAGTTGCTATTAAAGATTAATATTGTGCATTCCTCCATGCACACACAATACAGATCAACATCAACCTATAGTTGGCAGTAGAGGAAAATAAAAAAGATAGACTTTTAGCATCATGCCCTGCTTACAGACTGAGTTAGTCGCGTAATGTCATATTTAAGTGATTACCTTAGAGTGATTGTTGTGTTCATTAGGCTACAGCTGAATTGTGAAAAGAAAAACAAAACTGTTAAGCAAAATTACAGCATCAGTCTGGTTTGATGATCAGTGATCATTCTGCTGTGACTGATTCTGTTGCTCATGACTTATCCTCAGGAGGAAGGACTAAGTTTAAAAACAAGAAGAGCAACTAACAAACAAACGATTCTTTCAGATATAACGCCGTCACACACTTTTTTTTTCCACAGGAAATGTATGAGACACACAAAAAAGAAAAGCCCCCACAAAAGATTCACGAGCAGCCATGTTTAACTAATAAAATTCATTTCTGCTCTCACTTGGAGAAGATATTTCTGATTACAAGTTTCTCACATGTGAATAGGTGTGAACATTACAACAGATACTCTCGTGTTGTTAATGTTGTCGCCACCTACTGGTTGTCTATGGGTGTTTCAGCAATTTGGTTCAGTGTTTCATCCGTGTGAATTGAGACCGTCTTATTTTTAGAAATGGAAGAACAGTCAGGAACGACATCATCATTTTTTTGACGTCTTCACCAGAAAAAGGTTTTATTTGGAATATGCAATGAGTTGTGTGAAATGTTGCAGTCCTTCTTATCCAAATCACACAGATGCTATAAAACTAGTTCCAGTTGATTCAGAGCATAATGAGACAACTGCAGATAAATTAGACATAAAATAAGGTTCACAGATAAAATACTGCTGTGCATGTGAATGCCAAAGATAAAGATAAAACTTCCTGTTTGGATGTGAAATCAATATTTCTATTTATCCTCCCAAAGTTTTTATAAAAACATAAGAAGTAGACAAAAGTTTAAAAAATTCAGGCAAAAGAAGGCAGATTTCATGCAGGCAGTTATATTTGATTCAAATAATCCCCTCTTAAATAACTTTTACACAAAAAACAGACAAAACCTAATCAAATGTAAAATATGTCATTTAAAAACATCAAAGTTGAGTTTGTTTCTTCAAAACAATGAACACTTCAGCTTCATGCATTGAATAATATAATAGTCAATACTAATAATAATATAATAATAATAATAATAGTCAACTTTCTGTTCACTGATGTAAAAACAGAAGGTGCCTCATTTATTTTCCAATGCCACAGTCACAAAACTCTGAGAGTTTTCAATATCGGTCAATGTTTATCACTCAGCATCAATATCATAGACGCCTCGCACTTACAGCAAGAGAAGGTGAAGGCAACAACTGAAGGTTGTGGTAAAATCTTGTGATGTTAAGAGGAAAGGTTCACTTATCTGCCGCCGGTCCGGCTGAGACAGGGCCGGCTGTGTCTGAAGTCCATGATGTGTACGGCCGTCTGGTGCCACCAGTAAAACATCACCACCACCAGTACATGCCACAGCTGGTGGCTGGCGCCGATGTAGTTCACCTGACCTGGAGGGGGAGAATAAAAAAAGAAATATATGTTAAAAAAAGAAAATCTACTTAAAATAAAGAAATTAAGTTTATAATCAAGTCCAGCTAAATAAAACTTGTAACTGCAAATGTTACATGACCATGTTCTGAAAAAAAAACCCTGCTCATAATTTTTGATAAATGTTTGCAAAAAAATTATTCTCATGTCTAAAGAACCATCACCTTATTTCTGCTTTTAGATGTTAAAAGACAAATAAAAGACAATACTTTGCAATAAAGTGAATGTCTGTACACTGTAATATTGAAATCAACATTTTATATATATATATACACTCCTGATCAAAATCTTAAGACCAGTCAAAAAATTGCAAGAATTTGCATTTTGCACTATTGAATCTTAAGAAGATTCTAAGTAGAGCTTCACAATGTTAAAAGAAAATATTAGTGCAAGAGACAAAAACATTTGAGCAGGGAATTTTCTGAAAACTGCATTTACACTCAAACATGATTTTTTCAGCTGATCAAAAGTTTAAGACCATAGTCTTTAAAAGCCAAAAGCTGTGCAAAAATCTGGATTCCATGTCATGTTCTGTGAAGTCTTTACACTGTCAAGACCTCCAGATGGCAAAAGCAAAAAAATTCACTGACTTTGAACGTGGCAGGATTGTTGAGCTGCATAAGCAAGGCCTCTCACAACGTGCCATTGCTGCTGAGGTTGGACGCAGTAAGACAGTCATTTTGCATTTTTTAAATGATCCTGAGGGTTATGGAACAAAAAAGTCAAGCGGTAGACCCAAAAAAATTTCACCAGCTCTGAACCGCAGGATCCGATTGGCTGTCCATCAAGACAAGGGACGATCCTCTACCCAAATTAAAGCCATTACTGGTGCCGACTGCAGCCCGATAACCATCAGACAGCATCTGCAAGGGAAGGGCTTCAGAAACAAAAAACGTCTTCAAAGGCCATGTCTTGTTCAACGCCACAGAATTGCCCGTTTGGACTTTGCAAGGGTGCACCAAACATGGGACATTGAAAGGTGGAAGAAAGTTGTCTTCTCTGATGAGAAAAAGTTTTGGCTTGATGATCCTGATGGCTTCCAACGTTACTGGCATGACAGAGAGATCCCACCTGAGATGTTTTCTACACGGCACAGTGGTGGGGGCGCCATCATGATTTGGGGTGCGTTTTCCTTCAATGGAACAATGGAGCTTCAGGTTGTGCAGGGGCGTCAAACAGCAGCTGGCTATGTGGAGATGTTGCAGCAGGCATCCCTCATGACTGAGGGCCCTCGTCTGTGTGGTAATGATTGGGTTTTTCAACAAGACAATGCTGCAGTTCACAATGCCCGCCTGACAAAGGAGTTCTTCCAAGAGAATAGCATCACTCTTTTGGACCATCCTGCATGCTCCCCGGATCTAAACCCAATTGAGAACATTTGGGGATGGATGGCAAGGGAAGTTTACGAAAATGGACATCAGTTCCAGACAGTGGATGCCCTTCGTGAAGCCATTTTCAGCACTTGGAGCAATGTTACCACTAGACTCCTGGAAACACTGGCATCAAGCATGCCTAAACGATTGTTTGACGTCATCAACAAGAATGGTGGAGCTACTCATTACTGAGTCCTTTTTTTGGCACTTTGATTTCTGTTTTGGGGGGTTTTGGAGGTTTTTTGAGCTATGGTCTTAAACTTTTGATCAGCTGAAAAAATCATGTTTGAGTATAAATGCAGTTTTCAATTAATTCCCCGCTCAAATGTTTTTGTCTCCACAGATTTCTTCTTTTAACATTGTGAAGCTCTACTTAGAACCTTCTTAAGATCCAATAATGCTAAATGCAAATTCTTGCAATTTTTGACTGGTCTTAAGATTTTGATCAGGAGTGTATATATATATATATATATATATATATATATATATATATATATATATATATATTATATATATATATATATATATATATATATATATATATATATATGTACATATATGCATATATATAGAGAGATAGATCTATATAGATATATCTATATATATATATTTAAAATCATTAGTTGGTTCTTTATTGATTTTTGTAAAGTGATTAACAGCCACTGCAAAAGTTTCAAAGAGCCGCAGGCTGCAGACCAACTAAAATGCTTTAAGATCAAATAATGTTTTTTGCTTCTTAGACATAAATTAATGGCATAAAGTCTGGTCTGTGTCAGAACTTAAATGTAAGATGGTATTTTCCGCAGAAACACTAGAACTTTATTCAGTTCATATTGCACCAATTTACAGTGAAAGTCATCTCCAGACACTCAGCAGATTGCTTTAATAGATCACGACCATGGATGATGTTATTGGAAAGATTTGTTCAAATCAGACAGAATCCTGGGTTCACTTTTAAAGTGGAATTGAAATAATAAGTCTCAGTTAGTGATACGTGGGAAATTTCAATGCAGGTAGTTTCATGACTGAATGGTTGTTTTCATCAGATCTTGGAAATCGCAGCACAGAGAGACAAATGAAAGACAAAATAAAATCTCACCAGGAAAATATCGCTCTGGAATTTTGGTGGCGTAGAACAGGAATGCAGATCCAGCTATCAGGTACATTACAATCACACGAGGCAGAAACAGCTGCAAAATAAATGGGTTGCAGATTTTAGTTTTGGTTTTCTTCTCGATTTCTTACGACACTGCTTTTCCTTCCGCACCTGCACAATCTCAGAAGCGAACCCTTCACTCAGCCAGATCCAGTGGCAGGCAGGAATCACACCGACGCCCGCCACGCAGCAGAAGATTGACATCCTGATCATTTTCCAGTCGTTGCTGAGGTAACGAGGGTGAACCTGAGCGCAGAAGATGGCCAGGATCAAGGAGAGCACCGTCAGCAGATAGACCTGTCGCCAAAACTGGAGGAGAGGAGATGAGGCAGAGTCCAAGTCTTCAGTGGGCGGATATCTTTTGAGAGAAATAATCCTTGGATGTGTTGAGAAGCAGATGCTAAACGTCTTCACTCACAGCATTACAGTAGAAAGCATAGAAGATCCCAGGAACGTAGCAGCCCAGGATCCCGATGGAAATGCCGGCGTAGTCCAGCGCCAGCCAGCGGCGGCACGTCTTTTCCAAACGGTGGCATGAGAACAGGTGGTAACCCACCGAACACAGCATGCAGACCTGAAGGGAAAACAGTTCAACTTTAATTTATTTAGACAGCAATAAATTAAACACAAAGCTATTTCCAGCAACTTGATTACTTTTGGTATCGGAATCACAAGTTTGTGCATCTACAACATGTACATTTATCATTTCAAGACATCCACAAAGTACACAGAGGAGAAACTTTGCAAAATGTTACATGTAAGCAAAACCAGTTAAAGCCACTGGTTTTTGATTTAATTACTGGTTTCCACACAAACTGGCAAAAACACACAGCTAACAGTTATTGATGCCAACTTCACAGAGATGAACTACTATTCACCTACACACACCTGTTAAATGATACCGTGTTTAACCGCGGTAGGGTGATCTCTTGTGTTGGTTTTGGCCCAGATGAATAGATCACGTTCTTTCACCAGGCTTTGGGATATTTTAGATCTGATATGAATAGTTGTTTTCACTTTTATAAAAAAAATGTTTGTTGTTCTGTTGCTGTTCGGAAATATTCAGGAAGGTCACTTGCACTGTAAAGGCCTCATGTTGCTACATAAAAGTACATCAAATTTAATTGGTAAAGTTGTTTGTTGTTATTGTTAATTCTGAGTCTCCTGCTGCCAAATCCAGACATACAAGGAACAATGTGCAGAACACACCCACTGCTTTCTGGAATGATTTCAAAAGATGTTTCATCCAGGTATTGATTTGAGGATGTGCACAATCATGCAACGAGGTTACTGCTTTTTTGTACGTTTTATATTTCAGTTGAACTGCACGTGTCACATCAGAGATGAAAAAGTTCCTAAATGACCTAATTTAGTTGACTTTTTACAGGGTTGTGTACACGTTTTCAATCCACTGTGACTCCACTGTCAATACACACCTGAGAGGGTGCAGCTGACTGAACCTGCAGCAGGAAAAGCAACCCTACATGAATCAGTTTGTTAAACCAAACAATGAAGGAAGCACCCAGCTCACCAATGATGGACAAACAAAGACAATTCTCAGAAAGAAAAAAATAAAAAATCAAAATCAACGTGCAGCAGACTTCAGCAGCTGTTACCTGGAAGCAGAAGAGTCCTATCACATAGATGACGTAGTCTTCTCTGTTTGCTCCAGCGGCCGGTAGTACTGAGGAGAGGTCATTGACCCCAAGAGAAAAAAAAAGGAGAAAACCCAGAAGGTGGCTCCAGATATTCACAGTCTCATTGGATAGAATAAATATACTGTAGGGAAAAGAAAGCAGGAAACTGTAAGCATCATGTAGAATATCTCAAAAGGTTACTTCACATGTGATGTTCATTGAATAAAGTGTGCGGCTGTTTCATTTCCTCCACATTTAAAGAAATAAGGCATTTGAATTGATTAAGAAAACATCAAATTGTTTCCTTGAGGTGGCATTGAGTAGATATTATCCAATTTCACCTGTTTCAACGACTGCTGAGCTCTGGAAAAATATTTTTAGGTGAGTTCTTGGTGACATAAATTCATGTAGAGCCTATACTGGCTCACCTCTTCAGACAGAGCTTGGAGGTCAGGTGTGCCCTGTAGCCGTCTGTGATGTAGGGGTTTTCTTTGAGGAACAGGGGGATTTGTTCGTAGGTGTACAACCGAATCCTGTGCGGCAGCAGCACCGGCCAGTGCTGGTAGCTGCCTAGCTCTATGTAGTGGGCAGTTTTCAGCAGCTTCTTCGGCATCTTCAGCACCATCTTGTTCTGGGCTCAGCGGACACGGCAGAGCAAAGCTGGAGACGTTAAGGCTGCGGGGTCAAACACAATGGTCAAAAATCTAGCCACGTGTAAACAAATAGGTACAACTGAGTAATAATTCCGACAACAACAAAACGAATATTTACGGATGAATTAGACCTTAAATGTGACGGCTCCAAGTTCTGACAATAAGTTCTGGAACCAGCGAAGCAAGCATGTTCAGTTTTTTTCTTTTTCTTTTTTGCTAAACTGGTTTGTTGATGACGTCCAGCAGGCTACTCCTAAGATGCTAATGCTAACAGGTTGATAAACTTGTATAAAAATAACCGGAAGCTCACCATTATGAGTCCGACTGTCTTCGAACAGGTATTTCAGCCATTTCCGAAAGGCTGTTAGTTTTACGCGGTGGTAAAGAAAAGGATCACATTTTGGTAAATGTACACATTTTAATAAGCTAACATATAGTATGAGTGTGTAGAACCCTTTAGCAGCATCAAACCTGTTTGTTTTGATAGGAAATATGGAAGCTCTGCGTTACTGCCACCTACTGGTGACACGGCAACCTTACCTCTAGAGCATTTATTAAACTTCAAAAATAGAAAAATGCATTATATTACTGTAAGTTACATTTTCATTGAATGGAATTTTTCTATTTCGCACTTGCCATAATTTACAATAATAATAATAAATAATAACAATAATTATATATATATATATATATATATATATATATATATATATATATATATATATATATCAATGCTAAATATATATATTTAGCATTGATATTATAAAAAGTCCTTGCTTGTAAGTGTAATTAAAACACTTAATGTTTTCTAAACTCAGGCTATAAATCTTGCTTTGTTTGCTTATTTAATAGACAAGGCTTATGACCACAGAGACAGTTACATTTTTTTAACGCTGTGATAGACAGCATGGATTAACTGTGGTCACAATATTTCTCACTGGGTTTTCAGCTATGGCTACAAGCATTCTTTCATTCTTTGTACTATTAACCACCCATTTGCCCATTATTCATCAATCAGCAGAGTAATTGCCCTTCCTGTTATGAGGAACTCGTCCTGTTTCTGCTTTTTTAATTTGCAAATAATAAAATATATTTTTTGACCTTTTGTTTTGAAATAAAAAATAAATAAATAAATAAAAGAAGGTCCAACCACACTCAAAAAATACAACAGAGATCACATCATCCATTTTGAGGGAGGGGGATTCATTATGCTGTGTAATTATACGAGGCGTTTGCTGTCATGACTTAATTCAAACTGTTTGCTGAGCTAAAAACCAACTTGGAGTCCACATTGCATCCTCGCACACTCCATAATGAAAAATGTAATTACAGGGCTGCTGCATCACCAAAGGACAGACAGGAATGAAGTCAACATCTCACCCTGATGAGGTCTGATGAAGTTCAGCTCTGTGACAAGACACTGATCTTTTTGCTCCAATGTAAAAGAACGTGAAAGACAAGTCAATTATGAGTTAATCAATGTGTTGATGACATAACCCCTGACTCATGACATGGTGATCACAGTTATTCGCCATTTGGGAAATCACGTTTTGGATCAGCTTTAAGCACAGACACACCAAGGATGTCTGACGAGCGTATTGAGTTACACCACCATCTGCAGAGGATTAACACAGTAATGATGCACTTGTTTAAACATTTTGGATAAAAACACACTTTGTGGCTAATTTATTGGACAGTCAAAGTTGCAGAGCATACACATTTTAATAAGCCACTGGGCTGATCTCACACAAAGTGACATGTTTTGTTAATTCTTAATGTCAGCGGGACATTATTTAGCTTCTTATGCTGAAAGAGAAATATTTGAAGTCCCATAAAGATTTTTGAATTATTCATTTTAGTCATATGTCGGTTGTCTCTGTGTTTTTCTATTATGGCATTGTTATCTATTTAGTCAGCTGATCTTGAGGAAGGCACAGGAAGAGAAGGATGGATCTTCAAAATAAAACTCCATACCAAATGTGTCTATGTTTTCCTGGCAATCCCAGTGTTAATAATTTGTTCTGATAGATTTCGCATTATTAAAAACAACAAAGTCAGAAATAACTTTGTATCTCTATTTCTGGAACAATCTGTGTAAAAAAACCAAAAGTGAACTAAAATAAAATAAGATATATTCTATCAATATTGACTCAGTGGAGTGTTGTAGAATTACAAAAATATATCTTGTTTTCTTTACTATTATTATTACTATTATTATTATTATTATTACATGCATTTCCTGTTTTGTGATGAAAGCTAGATAGTTGATTGATGCTTTGTTGCTTATGGTGACCTTGAAAGAAGGGGTCTATATAAGATTTTTTGTTTTTCCTTCAAACTGCTCCTTTTCATTTTAAACGTTTGTTTATATATCAGCATGTGACATTTTTAAAATCTAAATGATTGAAATAAACAAACAAATGGGACGACTGGTTTGCCATTTGAAAAGGTAAAAAAGAAACCATAAAAAATGATTTTGTTATATTTATTTTTAAGGCACCACTAGTTGACAGATCTCAATTCATTCTCAACTTTGGATTATTGTCCACAGAGAGAAACATACTCACATGGATTTGGAGTATGTCACTGTGCCAGTATAAGTCAGACACTGTGCAACACTTATTCCAAAACTATTTGCATCATGAACTTTTTACTTTCAAAGAAGTAACAACTTAAACAAGACTCGGCAAATGTGCCGATTATCAACTCGAGTTTATTGGTTATTTCTTTTTCTTAAATAAAAACCTGAGTTTGGGGAGGTTCTTGAATCCTGACCGGAAGTCACCAGGAAGTCCTTTGTTTTCATCCTGGGAGTTTTGACGGCGGTGCCTGCAGCTGCCTGCGCGCGCCAGCCCCGCCCCTCTCTGCTCTGCTGCTGCTCTGCTGGCTGACATCGCCCGCTGCGCTGCGCGGCATCGCCAAAACAGCGACATGTGAGCAGCCGGCCAGACCCCAGGCTAACAGCAGCGACTCATTTCTTTAATCCTCCCTTGAATCAACCGGGTGCTGATATGTAACAAATGGACCATGGATTGTGGACGCGGTGCCAAATCCTGCTGCTGGTTCTGCGCGTTTACTCCACGAGTCCAACGCTCCCTGAGGAAAAGGCGTCCTGCGATGGAGCGTTTGATATTTATTTTGTTTTGGACAGGTGAGTTATGGCGGCCTATTGTGTGCTGTTAGTTGAAATAGTGTTAGTTTCTACAGCAGAGGATGCCTTTATCTCAGTTTTGTCCATGTATGGCTGTGTTTGGCTTCCCTTGTCCTACCAAATGCAAAACACTCCTCTTCATGTATTAAACACCCCTGACCCGGACTTAGTTTATTCATTTTCATCATATATTATTTTTCATAATGTCTTAATATTTTTGCAATATGTGCATATTTTTAGTTACGTTGCAAATAAAACATAGCTGCTGTTCTAATCTCTGACTTATGGAGGCATCACCACAGCTGCTCCTAATTCTCCCTAGTTTAGTTTTTACTGTGTTAAAACTTGCTTTCTTCTCATGTGAAATCTTGCATCACATTTTCAGTTGAACTTTGACCGGGCCGTTCTAACTCATAACATGTTGTCAGGGTTTTTGTCCTGAAGGAAGGTGAACTTCCACCCTAGTCTCAATCTATTTTTTCTTCCGCTGACAGGGTTTCGGTCAAGATTTGCTTGCATTCAACCTCCATCAAACCATATTGTGTTTTCATTGTGTTGTGCAAAGATAATTTTCTTGCACTCACAAAATTTTGCATGGACAAACACACACTGTGTTTACCCAAAATGACTTGTGGGCAGCTGTTGATCTGTCACATAAAATCCAAAATAAATTCAGGTTTGTTACACAATGTTCAACATTTAAAGTGTTTTTTTTTTTTTTTTTTTTTTTTTGTTTTTTTACTTTTCTGTTTTTACAGGTCAGGTAGTGTTTCTAAACACTGGAACGAGATCTATGGCTTTGTGGAGCAACTCACCAGCAGGTTTGTCAGGTAATCCAAATAAAGGTTTTGCACATTATTCCTCCTCTTTTTACTATCGAGGGAGAAACAAATATCCTTCTCCTGCAGATTCAAAAAAACAAACTTTTACGAGTCACGCATTCAGAAACAGACGTTAACACGGAGCAAACCAAAACTATTTAAGTAGTGGCTAGTCTTTAATACACTCCAACAAAAAAGGGTAAGAGAAGTAGGGCATGGCTATTTGAGGTTGCAGACATCACACAAAGCCAACAACTGCTCCAAAACTCCTCTGGGTAATGGTGTGTGGTATCTTTAGTTCTAATAGCAGGGTGGGTAAAGCTGGACGTTGGCGTCCAACAGATGTTTAAATCTCGTTCTGACCCCACTTAAAAGGCATTAAAAAGCAAATGCAGCAGAAAGAGCAGCAGTTAATTCTTTAGCTCAAGTTTTCGGGAAATGTTAAACACATTCTATGTTTAATAATGCGTGACAATGTGATGTGCTTCAGCCCCAGGATGAGGGTCTCCTACATCGTCTTTTCGTCCAATGCATATGTAATACTCCCTCTGACAGGAGAGAGGTGGGTTGTCAGCTCTTTTTTGCTCTGTTTTACAATTCATCTTTTATTTTCTAACAATGCACAGAAATGTACATTTTTCTCAAACTCATGTTGTTTTGTGATTTGCTCCAACAGGTCTAAAATAGAGGAGGGTCTAAACGAGCTGAAGCAAATCAAACCTTCTGGTGAAACATACATGCACGAAGGCTTGAAGGCGGTAAGCTGAGCCTCAGTGCTTAATCATAATCTCATAAAACTATTTTGTTTGGTCATAGGAATACATATGACCTCAACAATGCTATATATTTTATTTGGTGTGTTCCATAGCAAGTTGCATTTCAATCACTCACTTTGTATAGCCCTCAATAAGCTTCTGCGATAATTCTGTCCAATTAAAAATAATTGTTTTCCTGGAACAGATCTGGCATTTGAGCACAGTCCACAGTAGGAGTGAGGCTGGGATTTGGCCAAGCAATTCCAAAAAACTTGACATAGTTGGGTCCATTACAACTATTACCAAAAGGATTTGGATATGTGATTTGGTTTATTGGCCTATACAAGTATATCCAATGGAGTTAAAGGTTTCTATTGAGTTAAGTTAAAGAAATGGGAGGAAATCTCCAACACCGTTCCGTTTTACTTCTGTGACAAAGACTTGGCTTGTGCAGAGTTAGTCCAATGTTCCTAGTTTTGAAAGCCAAGACTCTCCTGAACATGTTTCTTATGAACTGCTTGACATTTTGTCATTCACTTAAAGGTGACAGCTTGGGTCTTCTTCCAGACTGTAGCAAAGTGGCATTAAACCAAATGACATTCTTATACTGACATTCCTGATCCCCATACATGGCTCTTCCTAAGAACTGTTCTGACATGCTGGGGCTTTCTCACTGACCTGAATACGATTACCAAAAGTTAAAAATCATTTAGTAATCTTTTGAACTCCTTGTTGCACCTGGTTAATAATGACTCAGATAAATGAATGAAATATTTCACCTGTTAGGTGTCGGAACAGATGAAGACCCAAACTTCACTGTCATCCAGTATCATCATTGTTCTGACTGATGGCAAGCTGGATATCTACCTGTATGAAATGAGTGTGAAGGAGGTAAAACACACATACACACACACACACGCACATACACACACTCACATGCATACAGAAACACAAGCTGCTGAAAATAAATCTAATAGTAGAGGATGTGGGTGTGGGCAAGGTTTGAAATAATCCCCACTTCATGTTTTTCCAACTGGACTATATTATGTAGAAACCAATGAGAAACATTGCTGGAAAATAACTTAATCAAATTTGACCAAAACAGGATTATTTTTAAGGCTCAGTTCAGGCTGACATCTGCCTGAACTGAGGCTTTAATTTGAATTACTTTGCCCCAATTACCTTTTTTAGCAGCTTTCATCTGCTCTGATCTCGTAAACTGTGGGCCAGTGTTGAAGCAGAATTTCCGTTTCTGTGTTGTGATTCCCAGGCTGACAAAGCCAGAGGATTTGGAGCCAGAGTGTACTGTGTCGGGGTCATGGGCTTTGATCACAAACAGGTAGGAGGTACCTCTCTTCTTTTACTATTCACTCACATGAAGCCATCTAGAACCCGTGAGAGAGAAGCAGCTTGTTTAAATATTGACTTTTTATCTGCCTTTCGGTCTGGTTAGACTGTAAGGACTCAAAGAAAACCCCGTTGTTTTCTGTCCCAGTAACCAGCCTTGACACTGTTGTTTTGTCTGTCAACCGAATCTTTCCGGGACGTGAACAGAATGCAGCTGGCAGGTGTTCAGAGATCCTGGTTTACCAGATTTTGACTGATCTGAGAGAAGCTGATGGGCAATTTTAAGAATGCGTCCTCATGTCTGAGCAGGACAAACAGAAATATCCTTTGTTGACTGTAAGAGCCTATGGGGAATAAAGCCACATACATTAAAACCCCACAGTGATTGAGAATCACTCCTCTGCTGTGACATGTGGTCTTTTCCACAGACTGCAGTGTCTCATTACTCCTAATGAGATTTGGAAGGCAAAGGAAACACTGTAATTACATTGGAGAATGATATACTGCATTATTGTATCTTGTTGTGTATCTTTGAGTTGTGTCAGCATCAATGGTGCTATCAATCTGTGTGAAAAATAATATAATGCTAAGATGCTCGTCCCCCTAAATGTCCCTTGAAGTCTTCAGTTCGAGCGTTTCAGTTTCAGACCCACAGCTCTCACTGGCCTACAGAGGAAGCAAATTACATCATTCTCTAATGATATAATGCCAGAGAAACTTCCTGCTTTGCTATCATTAGCTAAAGGCTGCAGACAGCTGTCCAGAGCTTTCATCTCTCAGGCACAGACTTGCCCTCCTTAAATGTTGCTGAAGCAAAGAGCATCGCATCATCACAGGGCAAAGACCTCCCTGAAAGGCGTCTGGATGAACTTGCAGAGCTTCACTTCAAAGCCCCTCCAAATGTCTTCATTCCCTTTGGACTTAAAATCCTGACAGTCAACTTTCAGCAGGTCCTTTTTTCTTCAGAAATACCATCCATTCAACTCTGGATGATAATCTGATAACCTTTCCTCTCTCTGATGTAGAAAAGCGTCACCATGGCATAATCCATGAGGGCTATTTGGTTTCCATGGTGCAGTGTTGGCTTTCCACCACAAATTTAAACCAGAGCACTTTCCTCTACATTTTAATGTTCCCTAAATGGCTCGTGGCAAATTGAAAACTGGGCTTCTTATGGATTTTTTTCTTGCATGTCAAGTCTCCAATGAAGGCTTGATTTGCAGAGGACTGACTAGCAGATAGTCAGTCCTCTGCTGTGCATCTCTGCAGCTCTTCCAGGGTTGGATTAAAGTATCAAATGTTGGGTTGTTTTTATGTAATTTCTCAATGCAACTAAGTGGTCTGGATGTTACTTATGAGGATCAGAGTCCACAGAGCTAATTATAAATATAAATTGCCCTTTTCAGATTTTTATTTGTAAAAGACAGAGCCCATAACCCATTACTCTAACCCATACACTGGCTCCTTGTAGTTCTATGATATAAACACTTTTAAGCTCCTTCTTTCTTTAATGTGCTGTACAAATAAACCTGAATAGTGAACATTTTCTACTTTGGTCACAGCTTGCAGAGATAGCTGACGGCACAGAACAAGTGTTTCCGGTTCTTTCTGGATTTCATGCCCTCAAAGACATTGTCAACACGGTAAGTTTGTGTTGCAAAATTTGATCCAGAAAATCTGCACAAATTGATGCAAACAGCATGTTAGTCTTGTCTGGTATCGTCTTTGTGCCTCGCAGGTCCTGAAACAGTCGTGCAGTGACGTGTTCACAATAGAGCCGTCCAGCGTCTGTGTGAACGGTAGGTTTGTTTTGTTTGTTCTGTCTGTCAGGTTGTCCCAAAAAGTCAAATAATTGTTCATGACTGTGTTAGTATATGGAATAACCTTTTTGTTTTTGCTATTTATTGCTCTGTCATGATAACAAATTTTACTAGACAATAAATTTTCACAGAAATGATAACGATAATCAATAGCCTTGTTGTTTTAAGACAATTTCCAAGTAATATGTTTTTAATGGCATGATAATGGAAGTTTGCCCATCTAAAACCAATAAACTTTAACTTTGTAAAGAACCATTCAAATTGACATTGAAATAACCAAAATAAGACGCAACCAAAAACAAAAAATAAAACGGAAATAAAAACCATCCAACAGAAACCAGAAATAAAATGGATAACGATGTCTGTGTAAATAAAATTACCTTTTAAAAAATACCAATCACGAGAATGGAAATTATTGAGCTAATAATAACTTACCATGTGATTAATTAGTTAACTGCTTAATGCAACAGGCCTTTATACATTTTTAGATATATTTGTACATTTTTTTACTGGATGATTCATCCTGAAGTTGGATAGGGCGCGGCTAACTTGCTGGTGTGTTTTACATTCTACTCAGCGATGTGTTGCTAAGACGAACTTGTGTAATCAAAATGTTTGACTGTTCTTTGCTTTTGGCCATGGAGTGTCATTCCAAAAGCTGCAGGTCACTGAACATCTGAAGATGTTGTTCCCTGACCACAGACCAAACATGAGAGTTGATTCAGTCATGTTACATTCGTTTCTCCTCTAATTGGCTTAATATTTCACTGAAGTACCTTTGAGACGTCATCACGTGCTCCAGTCTTCTTGGGTGTGTCGGTATGAGGTTGGCGCTTGTTTGGGTTGTTTTCTACTCACATCTGTCCAGATATGTTTGATTTAAACGCGAAGACGTTCACAGTCTGCTCCTGAAACTTCTCCTTTCGTTATCTTGGCTGTGTGTTTTGGTTCATCATCATGCTGGAAGATAAATTATAGGCCTGATTGTTGGAATGCATCAGCAAGGGAAAATCTCCTGGGTGGGTTTCAGATCTGCAGGGGGAATATCAGATCTCCACCTAATGAACATTATAGTAGTTGGACATCTCTTACTGGTTCCCTTCTTTCTCGCCCAGATTTGTGTATTGACACGATCTAGTTTTATACATCTGCAGACTTTATAAAAAATGGCTTACTCAATTCTTCAGTCAGCTGAATTTACCACAGGAAGCTCCAATCAAGTTGCAGTATGTAATCAGTGGAAGTGGCTGAGCTCAGTTTTGACTGAAATAGAAAAGGGTTTGAATCTTTATATATGTATAATCCTTACATATTTTAATTTTAAAAAATTGTATACAAATATTTTATGACTGTTTATAATGAGCAGATTTTATTTCAAGAAAACTTGATTCAAATCAGTTTTACAAAAACCCTGTTACAAAATGTAGAAAGAACAATGTGGCCTGGATCCTTTCTTTTGACACTGTAAGACAAATACAAGTTGCAACATCTGTTTTTTTAGATTTTTTTTTAAATAAAAATGTGCATTTTTTAATTGTCTATCACTCATATTTGGTCCCACCCCCAAATTATGATGTTATACATCATCTGATATTTTCTTATGACTTTCAGTTTTGCTCAATTTCTATATTATAATCTTCTACAGACAAAGGGAACCAAAATGCAGCTATGTAGAAACGTGAGCATGTGTTTATGTATAACTAAATGATGCCATGAGGAAGAGGAAAACTCCACCTACAGATAAACACAGGGGGGTCCTATCTTGCTCTGAATAAGTACAAACTTCAGGGATGTTTTCAGAATGACAGAAATTGTTTTAAGCCGATGTTCTGATTGTTTTAAGCCAACAAGCCTTTGCAGACTTTAATTCAGTTTAGAATATTTTTGGAGAAACTAGAAGGTAAAGGTTTTGAGAAAAAACTGCTGGAAGTGCTCATTGTTTTGATCTGCTTTGATGTTTTCCTCTCCATCCGCTTCAGAAATCGAAGATCTGTCAGAAATTCCTAGAATAACTACGACTGTGAAGACTAAGTGTGTTAAAAGCAGAAGAATGGCAGGTTGAAGAAACTTCCAGATGGCTGAAAAAGCTTTGTTATTGCCAGTGATTCTGTAGTCAAGTCTGTTTTATTTGGCATCATATAAAAGAATCAAATGAAGCTTGAGCTGCCATCTGATGGTAGCATATGTTACATCAGGTCTGATTAAATCAATTTAAGATAATGAAAAAAAAATCTATTATATTCTCAGCAGATCTGAACATGGGATTTGAAGCTACTCTGTATTTCACATTTAGAGCTTGTCAATTTGGATATAAACATATGAGGTTGAAAATAATTTTGTGGTACTTTTTTAATGTTCTTTTTCATTATTTTATGCATTTTTTTGTCTTTTGTGCGACTCTCTTTTTTGCTGCAAGATCAAACAAAATAGGAATCTGACCAAATGTTTTTGGCTGTGCGGTTTAAACAGAATAGAGTTTTGTAAATTTTATTGGGACTTTAACTGGAACTGGAGCTTCTGTTCAGCTCTCCAAACACTGAAGCTGCATCTGGTCCAAAAAAAAAAAAAAAAAGGATGAAAATGTGGAAAATTATGGTGGAGAATCTGCGATGCTGTGGGCCTGATACACAAACTTCACTTAGTTTTAGATTTTTATTCTCTGCACTGAATGAATTTGCTGAAATTCAAGATTAGGCAAATTTGACATTTTGACAATAAATCTGACATACACTGTTTAAAGACTTGTGGAGGATACTGCATTAAAAAGTCACTTTAGCATTCTTGTCATTCCCGTTTTATTTTCTTCCAGAGTCTTTCAACGTAGTTTTAAAGGGGACCGGATTCAGCGGAACCAAGAGGATCGACAACCTTCTCTGCTCTCTCACTGCCAATCACGTGACTTACCGTAAATGACACACTCATGACATCTCACGCCTGTTCACGGTTTCCAACTACAATTAAAAACTGTCACTTGTTGCTACTGCTGTAAACCATACGAAGGAATCTGTTTGCACCAATCCACACGACGCCAGACTGCTCACTGGGAAAAACCATCAAGTGCCACTTGGAACAGTGTGCAGATGTCTGAGTTGCAATGGAAAATCGGGAGTCATGGCAGTGAGAAACAAACAGTAGTTGCCTTTTATCAGTTGTGGCAAGAGAACAGGAGACATTATGAGGTTGAGCACAGGGAGGGAAGAGATGCTCTCTGCCCATTAGTCTATTAGCAGATCGATGGCATGAGCTGTGCTGAGGTCAGTGTCACTGAGAGGACGAGCAAACACAGCATGTGATTCCTGTTGAGCTGCTGCTGTTAGCAAAAGTGTTTACTTAACTCCCAACTTCCCTGTGTTTTGTATAAAATCAACTTAAACAGAAAATCTAACAAAGACGCTTAAGTTTATAAAATGATTTTACCTCTAAAGTTAAATGTCAAAATAACAAACACTGCATGTAATTAGTGTACAATATCTCCAGCTTTACACAACGTGCCCTTATGTTGGATTTATTCTGTTTCTGTGTTTTTCCTCTCAGATGAGAAGCCGACGGTTGTCCAAGGCGGATATCTGCTGTGTCCAGCTCCTCGTCTGCACGAGGTTGGACAGTAAGTCTGCAAACAACTCCAACCAACAAAGAATGTTTTCCTGGGAGATGCTGTTGGAATAACGTGTCTTCTTCTTTTTCTGATGCCTCTGTTTGTTGATTACAGATCAGTTGAAGTGCTGATTAGCCTGAACAATGGACAGTCGTACATCTCCGCTCCCATCGCCATATACGCCACCTCATGCGTGGGTATCAATTTTTGAACTCTGTTGTGCTAAACAAAACAACCTTTCTGTTGGTGTAGGAGAAAATCTGAGAGAGGATGGAGGCAGCACTGCTGTTTTTATTTTATGTTTCATATATGAATAATCATATGTGCACAGTTAGTGGGGATCACACATTTTGTGCCTTGTCTGCTGCAGTCAGACGGGATCTGGGTGCTGTGGTTGCTGCTGGCTTTGTTACTGTTACTGGCTCTTGGTTTATTCTGGTGGTTCTGGCCTCTCTGCTGCACTGTGGTAAGTTTTTGTTTCTTTTATTTCCATATTCTGTTGTTTATCAGGCTTTTGTTTTGTAAAATACCAACCACACAACACCCCGTTTCCCTAAAGAGCATTTTATAACTACATGTAAGAAGGAGGCCGAATGTTGACATTTGAAATTCTCATTTTTTTTAAACGACTGTTGAAAATGTTGGATATTGTTTTCACACAGGTCATCAGGGACCCTCCTCCCTCTCGTCCTCCTCCACCGCCTCCTGTTTTTGTAAGTGAAAAAAGTCTTTTCTGAAGAACCTCCATGTTTTGGGGCACTATACCTCACGCTGTCATCTTGGCAGAGGTGGTTGAGAGAAGATCTAAATTTGGGTGAACGCAGAAGGAGCGTCGGTGGAGCTTGGGAGGCTGACAGAGAAATGCTTTGGCAGGGTTCATTTGTTGAGCTCGAGTGAGAAAACTGAATTCCTTATATTTCTGTCATACATGGTGGAGATTAAGTTAGACTGACTAACATGTCACAGTGTCTATAAAAAAAAAAGTAAATATAGAAGTCCAAATTTGGAGGCATAAATTTGTGTATATTTTTTTACTCCCTAATTTTATTGTAAAGTATATTTTGATGTTTTTTCACTCAGGAACCAGAAGAGGATCCTCTGCCCAAACACAAGTGGCCTACAGTAGATGCTTCGTACTATGGAGGCAGAGGTCCTGGAGGAATCAGACGCATGGAGGTGAACATTTTAGAGTGTGACCCGGAAAACCTTTCCAGAATTTAATTTTTGTAAAGTTTGCGTGCGCCCACTTCCTGTAGGTGAGATGGGGAGAGAAGGGATCCACAGAGGAAGGGTCGCGTTTGGAAAAAGCCAAAAACGCTACAGTCACTATGCCAGAGGAAGTGGAGGAACCCATCATTCCTCGGCCCCCGCCAAGACCTCCACCTGTTTACAGCTCCCCGACCCAAACCAAATGGTACACTCCCATCAAGGTGAGACAACTTATCCATACGGTCTCTAAAATAAATTATACTGTATGTAGTCAATTTAATGCAAATTTTCTTCATAAAAAGTGACATGTTGATGTCCTCTTCAGGGGCGTATTGATGCACTGATGGCATTACTGAGAAGGCAGTATGACAGAGTGGCAGTCATGAGGCCAACACCTCAGGACAAGGTAAGGAGCAGCTTCAATTCTTCACTACTACAACCCAAATACAAATTAATCTGATCATTATGAGTTATAGATTATTATTTTTAGGTTCTTTAAAAGAGCAGAAATATTTTTTTCAAAATAGGTTTTCACAGATACATTTTCTTTAAAATAGATAAACATGATTTGATAAAACGTATTTAGTTAATCTTAGTTATTATCACCCAGAAAGATAAATAACAACTCTCTGCGTACACTTAGTTTACTATAATTAGCAGTGAACGCTTGCATGTATTGTCATCAAAAAAAGAGCTCAAACACTCTCCAGAGTAACAGGATTAGGTTTTGTCATTGATTTTTAGTTTGAGATTTAATAGCATAATAAAAAAAGCAGTTTCTCCTTTGGAATTCGGTGTAATATATTGTTCTTGCAAGGCATTAAATAAAATCCAACCTCAGATGAACAACCAGACATGACTAGACGTTTTTATTTATTAAGATTAATTTAGCAGTTTCAGACAAACTGCTAAAACCTGCTTTTTGATATCATCCATGTCAAATTCCAAAACACTGTAAGATTTGATCATTACCTGAAAATCTGACTTATTTGTTGGTTGGAATTGGTTATTTGCTTGTTGTGTTTGGGTATTTTTTTTTTTTTTGTGAAGTTCTACCTAAATTTGAGATATTAATGGAACCAGATAATACATTTAACCAAATCATAAAATAGAAAAGATAAGTAATTTAGCAAATATGTATCATGACTTTATTTGAAAGCCTAATTTAGGTTGTCAAATTGCTTCCATAACCACATTAAAATAAATCAATACAATAATGTGTAGGTCCCCATTTAGAGTTGTGGACGATCTTTATATGTTGACTTGTGATTACAAAGTTTGACTTAACAAGAAACATGCATAAAAGACATATTATCTTATGGAATTGTGTTTTATAAGACTTATTCTTGGACATTTTCAGCAACACAACTCACCGTCCTGTTGTCTTTTAGGGTCGCTGCATCAACTTCACCAGAGTTCGTTCTCGCTGAGGTGGATCAACCTTCACTCTCGTCTAGTTTTTTTTTTCTTTTGATATTTTTGCCAAAGATCACCAACACCTACTTCCAGAAGTTAATGTCTAAATTTCTGTGCATTGTAAATAAACGTCTTGATAGTTAAATGGACGGTGTTGCAACAAAATATGTATGTGAAAGTGTTTGTGTCTCAGAAAAAACAAAGAAAAAAAATATTGTATTTGTTTATTCAAACCTTCAAAGAGAAAAAATATCTTTCCACACAAAAAAAAAAAAAAAACTTTCTACAGATAAATAAAAGATGCACAAGACTCTTTAAAAAATATATAACAAAATGACACACAGACAGTGTGCCTTTTAAGAACATGAAAAATGCATCATCACTTTCACTCGAAGCTGGATATTAAAGGTTCTCTCACAAATCCACAAGCGGGACAAGAGGGGCTGGATCATCTCTATACACACATACAGTTTTCACTTCACTCTAAACAAATACTTGTTTTTGACATAATACATGAACTGGTGTTGTAAAAGCTTACCATCACAGAGCCAGCCAACCTGCAACAAGCTCATTGTGAAACTCATGGTGAGTACAAGAAAACAAAAACACTTTTTAAGCTTCTGATACAAAATACAACATGATTAGAAAGAATACAATGACTCATATGAGCTGGAGTCACAGAATGCCATGATTCACAGCACAGGGACTCACACTCAATTGCATTTTGCTTGCATGATGCAGCTGTCACATAATGTAGCTTTACATGGAGCCACATTACTTAAATGCTGATAATAGTTATCACATGACTTCACTGTCCAAATTGAGATGGATGACTTGAAGGTACAGCCGCATCACTGTGTACAAGCAACTAAAAGGCTTTAATTTATGACACAATTAATTCATCATGGCTCTTTCTGTCCATAATTCTTATTCAGCAGCTGTAACTTGTTGAACATTCACTTATTGGTACTTAGGAATACGAATCCATGCACATTTTTGCCTGTTGTCCTTTTAGCATGTTTAGATGCTTTTTGTTTTTTCTTCAAAAATTCTAGCTTAACGACAGAGTTGTTTCTGGCACTTAAGTTTTTCTTTATGTAAAATTACTGGCACTCTTTGTAGTCCCAAAGGATTGAAATGAACTTCTTTATTGTTGATTAAGTTGCATCCATTGTTCTGCAGGAGCATGCTTAGGTCCAAAATGTAAACTTTGGCCTTGGGAATATAAATCGAAAGTATCAAGTGGAGAAAACTTCTTAAGAGCGATTTTCTCGATGGAGAAGGGAAGATCTGGAAGATAAAACAAAGAACAAGTTAATTTTTTTCCATGTTGGCTTATTTCCCTATATGATTTAATTCTCATTATCCTGCACCCACCTCAGAGATCTGCGGCTGTCTTTCTCCATGTTGTTTTCTGGTCCTTCGCTCTCATAGGAGGCCAGGTGCAGCTCTGCAACAATAACACAAATTCAATTTCATTTTCCCGTGGCTTTCAAAGCTGATAGTTGATGTGAAAGTGTTCTAATTTGTACTCACCGTCTTCAGTGTAAACGGACGTGGTGACCAGATACTGAAGAATGCGGCGGTCTCTGTCGAATGGACAAATTACTTGCCGCCAAACCAGGAACTCGCTCACTTGCTTTGCCAGCTCCCACAGTTTCTGTAAAAATGTCACAAAAACGATAATGATGACGATTTTCATCTGTTAAGGTTTCTAAGGCCAGAAAATCTGTCCAGTTTCCACACATTTTAAAGATTCAAATTCTGAAGATCTCCAGACACAAATGATCAGAATTCTCAAGTGTTTTCAAAAATGAATAAGAAGAAAGAAAGAAGTTCCCATATTATAGTTAAAATCTTTCACTGGCAGATTATTTTACTGATAGCAAGAGCTTTTTCCATATATATTAAGTAATTGTCTTAAAACAATTTCCTACTTCTTGCTGAAGTTTCTTATAAGTTAGTTTTGTCTTATATTTGCACTAGAAACTAGATTGTGTGATTCAAGAACTCCTCCACAAGGGGGGGCTGTTGGTCTGCATGAGAAAGTCACATCTCCAGTTTTTATTTTGAAAAATGCTTTGAACTGACCTCAAAGTTGATGTGTCCGTTTGACAGCCTGTTGGCGCAGCCTTCATTCAGGAAGTAGATGTCTTTAATGAGGAGGCTGAAGAATGGAATCACAATCTGCAGGAAGAAGATTTAGTTAGTTTAAATGTAGAAGAATGAAGTTTTTCTTTTTCAATGAGCAGCACGCTCCGGGTTCCCTCACCTTCTCCTGGCTGCTATGTGCGGTCTCGGACCTCTGGGTGGCGCCGCGGAGCGCAGTGCGGTAGTTGCTGAAGTTACTAGACGGGTCCATCTGGTGCTGGATGAGATCACACACATCGAACGTCAGCAGACAACAAAACCATGCTGACCACAGCTGAGCAGAAAACGAGTGTCTAATCTGTGAACTGCTGACGTGTGTGTGAATAATTCTGACCTCCAGGATTTCAAACTTGTCTGTGTTGACTTTGTTCCAGGTTTTCTTCAGTCTAGCGACCGGACTCATGTTCATCCCAGCTGAGAGACACAGGAGAAAGCGTTTAGAGACAAAGTGCAGCCTGCAGAGCTCCAGGCCTCCGCTAACTGAGTTTAGACTTCCCTAAACTGATTAAAGTCAGCCTAAACTCCAGCTGGCACTGCATTTGTTGGCTTTAGTGAATTCAGTGGCTCTGCTCTACAAAGACACCAAGGGAGTAACGGCTGATTCTTTTTCTTTTCCTCCTTGGCATATTTTACAGCAAAAATAACCAAAAATGACAGGACACTGGTACAGATTCTTAATAAAAACGGATCAAATACTCACTGATGATTGCCATGAGAGAGTTAAAGTTGCCGATGTTGAAACACTCCTGAGCCACATCAATGAAAAACTCTATGATCCGCGCTCGGTGTTTCTTCTTCGCTGGCTTGAATAAAAAGACATAAAGAAAAAGATTTAAAATCTGCTTCTAAATATATGAAAAGCTTAATCTACATTTACATTTTCAGCATGTTTCCGTGCACATACTTTCCTTCGTTAGGCATTGTCAAGTTGTTTTGGTTACTTAAGTTTCAAAGAAGTAGTTTCAGTATTGTTTTAACGTTTGTTTGAACAAACGCCAACAAACCAGAAGTTTCATCAATAGATCAGTAATCCCATTGATCAGTTACAGATACTTTTGATTTTCACTATGTGTTTTATGTCTGGAGGAAGAGAAATACACAATTGCCAAAGTCAAACACATCATGGATGGGATCATTTTCTAACCAGAGTCTTAGGGAAGAAACGAGCAATTATTTCAGTAATCAATTATTCTGACGTTTAATTGGATAAAAAATAAATTGGCACATTTTCATATTTTTTTATTTAATCAAGTAAGCCGTTTTATACCATGTCATGAACACATTGAAGGATGTAAAAATTACTTTAGTAAATTTGAACCAGGTGAAGCTTTGGGTGAAAAGCTCCTCAAACTCCTTACAGATAAAAGTGTTTTTATGTTAAAAATGACAAATATATGTACATTTTGTATAGCTTTGGCTGAATTTAGTTTGATTTGGCAATTGGTACCTTTTAAACCCCTTAGAAATGGCAACATATGTGTTTTTTTTTTGTTGTTGTTTATATTTTTCTATTCCCATTAAAATTATGCAACTATAAGAATTAGACATTGCTCTCTGACAACTAATTTGTCTGTGTGAAATACCATGCAGATTTCTGTTGCCACCAAGTAGCTGAGCCTGTTGAACCAGTTGACGTAGGCCTCCAGGTTACTGGTTTTACGTTTCCGGAAGAAACCCTGGAGGAGGAACAGAAGAAGAGAAAGACGCAATGAAACCAATTAACTGTTAGTAAACATTTAAAGAAGGACTAGGAAGAAACTCTTCCAGAACCGCACCAAGTAATGCCTGCATAAATACTAAATTAACTTTACTGGCAATGATTTATATTTGTTTTAAAACTTAATTTTATTATAGAGTAACAACTACAGAGTATCTACATTGCAAAAAAGAAAAGAAGTGGGATTTTTAGCTGCTTCCATTCACTGCTGTTTTATATTTGCTTGGTAGCTAATGTTGGCAGGGTTTGAAAAAAAGAGATTCCTTGGGTGTGATGTTCAAAATGTCATAATGTTATGCATAACAAATTATTTGATGTCTGAATATATTTAAAAAAATCAATCATCGGTCTTTAGCAACTTCTCATTTCTTGTCTCAATTTCATTCTTTTAGAGTTTTGTACATATTTGTCACCTTCAAACATTAAAAAGATTTTAACTGCTGTGAACTAACAGCTGAAGTGTAACAAAAGGGATGATGCATGTTCTGTAGTAGGACAAAAGTCCTTAACTAATCTCACAGAATAAAATTTAGCATCAGACTAATGTGATATAAATCTCATATGATGTGCCACATCTGCTTATTTCTTAAGTTTTTCCCATAAATGTGACAAAGAAGCTGCTTCTCTTCCTTAACTTTCTTCCTTAATAGATCCTGTCGGCTTTTCACACCAACACAATCTGCCACCGTCACACACGTCTCTCTTTACGCACATATGCTTTCTGGGTGCCCTGGCTTTTCCATTAAACATGTGGTTTCAAACCTGTTTTCCAAAGGTCCTCTTACATAAATAAAAGCTGTGTATAAATAAACCGGACTCGGCCGTGATGATGCAATCCCAGAGGTTTGAGGCTCCGCTAAAAGCTTACGCAACACCGGCATCCCACTCCACTCCAAACTTCCCCCTCTCTACACCTCAGGACCCCATTTTTAGTGACTCAACTGCTCTTTTACGCAAAGTGGCTCTTATATAACTGCAGCAAAGCAGGTGGGAGCGCAGCGGCGGCGGCAAACGCCGACTGAGAACGACCCTTCAGCTGATTTCTAGGATCTCTCAGCATGGAAAAGATCCTTCTCTCCGATGAACTGAGACACACGCAGCAAAGGCTCTTTTTGTTCTCTTCCAGACGTTTTCAAGAGCTCAGATAAAAATAAAGCCGAAAGCTGAACAAGTCCCCTTCTATCTGCCGCGAGGCTCTTTCATGTGGTTTCTGTGGCAAATACACTCAAACTGGAGATGACCACAACACTCAAAGCAGGCCCAGAACACAATCGAAAATCATATCAAATGGCTCAAAAATAACAATGTGTGGTTCGTCTGGGTTGGGACTTTGATGTAGATAATTATAAACAAGTTATTTTGCTGTGTTTTCCAGCTTTCTTGAGAATAAAGCAGCCCTTGCCCTAACTTATTGTTGTCTCATGCTGAAACTAAAAACAAAAGGAAACTGCTCTGCTCTCTCTGGGTAAAATATGTGAAAATTTAACAAGACTGGATGAGAATCACACTAGTGTGAAATATTTGGTCAGAAGCAGACCACGACTCAATATCTTGCAAAAATATACCCAACCTTTAGTACATTTTATCACCTTTCAAATACAATTTTTAATATATTTTATCTGGATTTGATTTGATGAACCCAAATCTATATTCTTTTCCTTCCATTTCTCAAATTGAAACTAACTTGTGCTGGTCAGTCACATGAAATGTTTCCTCTCAGCTTTACCTTGTGGTTTTCCAGAGGATCCTTCATCGCAAAGACTGAATAAACTCCTCAGGACCAATGAAGCTCAGTCTATCCTAAAGGCAAACGTCAGGCAGAGAAAAGTCAGAAAAAATGATGTAAAAGATGATGCTGTGTTTAAAATCTAATAAAAACAAGAGTGACTGTCTGGCACCAAGCCCTGAAACAGAACAGCTAAAGTAACCTAATTCTTATTTAACTTTTAGTTATCTGACCTCTTACCAGTTCAATGTGTGTCAGCTGCTGAGCGAGGATGAAAGGATCGTCGCACACGCTCAGCATGTCGGCCCTTTGAGCTGAAGCCTGTTTGGTCTTCAGAGAAGCCGGACGTTCCTGCGCCGCAGCATTGAGCGCAGCTACGGCTTCCTCGTACTGACCGAGGGCAGACAGGCGCTTGATGAGACGCTGGGTCATCTGCTGCATGGCCCGCCAAGAATACTACAGACACACATGAAGACACACATGAACTAAATAATCACACTAATCTAGGTGTGGTTCCTACAGTAGATGAATGGATAAAATAATTGATGGTTGGATGAACAGAAGAAACACAAGATGGGTGGATGAATGAGTGGTTGGTGTGATGGCTGGATGGTTGGTTGGTTGGGTGGTTTGATGGACTGATGGATGCTTACCTCATCCCCTCGCGCCACATGGAGTGTCATGTCCTTCAGGCATCGCATCATGCGGTCGTCTCTGAAGTCGTATGGAAAGGTTTCCGTCCACTCTGTCAGCAGCTGCACTAGTTTCGGTGCCACCTCACGGAAACGGATCTGAACATGTTGCAGACGGCACAGAGTCAGTCTAAAGACGTCATGACAATCATTTAAAATCTGTTATTTGTGAATATGACTTCTTCTTCCTGGTATCTGGATTTGGCATAAATCTCAGCTGCACTGCAGTGAGATCTCTTTCTTTCTTTATTCTCCTGGATTTGCGAGTTTGTCAGTGGGAGTGAAATTGTGTGGGACTAAGTGAAAGTGACAGTGTGTGAAATAAATACACCTGCACATGTCTGTGCCATTGTTTGTGTGTGTGTGTGGAGGTCCACCCACCTTATCCAGCAGGGCATCTCCGGATCGCTGCTGCTCCACACACAAGTGACAAACCCTGGTCATGAGCTCATATGGGTGCAGGAAGAGGCGTGAACTCAGCAGGAAGGTGAAGACATATGATCTCTGAAGACCAGGAAGCACAAACAAGTCAGGATTCTTTTACAACTACTACAAAATTTACTGCACAATCTTTAAAAAAGTAGAACGGCTACATACATCCGGGTAATAATCCACAGTGGGAACCAGATGCTGGATCAGCGCCTCAAGGGAAGCCGAAACCAAGCTGTTGTCGTGGTAACACATCTCTCCATAGCTGGTGGCAACGCCATGACCGTAGAGCCGAGCTTTCGCCGCAGCCCCGTTGTTCCGGCAGGAGTGCTCACTGCTGCAGCTGCTGCTCGTGTGGCGGTACGCTCGCCCGGACAGGAAGTGCTGTGCTGGCGAGGGCTGCAAGGCTGCGGCGAGGAGTACGGGTTCTCCGAAATGGTACAGCTGCTGCCGTAGTGGTGCTCCTTGGCACTCACAGAGGAGACGGAGGTGGTCCGATACGCACTGTGAGGCTGCGGCACGTCGTAAGGGTTTTCGGTCGGGGAGTAGGAACCGTTGTAGATGTTGTCTCTGGACAGTTTCGGAGCAGAGCCGCTGTGGTACGGGCTCGGCGGCTGAACGTGGTTGTTGTTGCTGTACGACGAGCAGGAGTTGAACTTTCCTGCGTAAGGGGTTGTTGGGGCATGATTACCTTCAGAAGAAAGAAGAAACGTAAATATGAAGATTTTAGAGGCGGGCACTGAGCATGGATCTGCTAAAGCAGGGGTTACTCTCCACTTTCACCACATGCTTGCTCAGGATAAAATATCGCCATTCAGTTAGCTGGGTTTCCATATTAAAGCTAGAGGTTGTTGTAATCAACCTCTAGTTCGTTTGCCTAGAAAGTCCGGTTTGTTTGGGGAAGTGTGAATCAAACTCTGAAATGGACCAAAAAGCTAAATCTGATCTGCCTGCCTAAAAACCCCGGTCTCTGGTAGAAGTGGACTCTGGCACGGTTCGAATTAATAAGAGAATGCAAGTGGACTAGCGAATGCTCCAATGATACAGCGCCACCATAGGCAAGGAGAGGAACGGGTTTTTAAAAGGGTTTTGTTCGCTTGACACACTGCAGTGTGAAAGAGAACCACGCCAGCTGAAAATTGAACAAATGTTGCAATCTTGGTCACCAATTGAGCAGATTTTATCGAGCTATTAGGTGTGAAAACACCCTGCATGTGGTTAAAGAGCACTGATGTCACATTTGTTGTATAATGGAGCTATAAAAAAATAAAAATTATTGAATTAAATTAAATTAAAGATGATAACTTAAATTTCATATCTGCATTTTCAGCCCTAGATATGTTTAGAGAGTTTTTGTTTTTAGAACCATGTTGTAAAATCAACTTTAAAAAAATTATTCTCACACTTTTGATACAATGTTAGAAATACATGAGCAAAAAGGGGAACTAACCTTGCATAGTGAAGCCGTGTTAAGTCATCACCCTATTTTTTTTTCAATGTGTGGATATGTTGTGGGTGGAAGGGTGGAGTATATTTAAAAAAAATAATTAGCAGTCATTTTCAAACACTGTTTCAGTGTAAAATATCCATAATCAATATAAGCAGAACCAGACAAGTTTCTAAGAGGTGTTGAATGAAGCAAATTTACATCAAGTAATTCCCTTTTTATCCAAAACCATCATATTTCTTTTTTATGGTGAACCATTTCCTCAAAAGCCACTGCTGCTGTTTTAAATTATGGGCTTTTTTAGGTTTAAGACTGGCTTAATTGCAGTAAGGCAGAGTTATAATAACATGTTCTCACCACATTATTTAATCCAGCTTTATTTAATGCATTACTTTTGTAGTCAGCTGACTATCCTTCAGTCAACATGAAGACAAAGCTATATCTCCTGCAGTACTGTAGATTTCCTGGTGTTATAGTATCCCTATCCACCTGATTCCCTGGGAATGTGGTAGATGTTTAAACTGCGTTCAAATATCTCACTCTGTCTCTCAAAGCTGAGACTCAGTAAGTGTCTGTGACGATAATCGCACCTAATCGCTTAATTTTAGATCTCCTCATTCTGTTATTTGGTGTTGTCAGCGGTTTATAAATCCATCTTATTTGGAAATGTTTCTCCAACGAGTCGATTTGTTGGGAATTTTTACAAATGAGCTTGTAAGAAATGTCTGCTCCACCCTATTTCACTGTATCTTTTACTACATTCTTGGAGTGAACTTGTTGGCAGTCGTGCAGCATGTGGGCGGAAAACATCATGACAAATGGATGATCTCTCAGGACAGCAATGATTTTCTGTCTTAACAGTTAAAATAATTGGACATGAGGTCGGTAAGCTGATCCCAGATCGCCAGTGGAACGTGCTTTTGCACTGGAGCCATCTTTATCCTGCTACTGTCCATGAATCCCAGGCATATATGTCTGGAACGTTTGGCACACACACATACATGCGCCAGAAAACAGAAAACCCCGCAGGAATCCAGCAGAGTTTTGTTTGTCCATTCCTGCGCCAACTGTGGAGTCTGTTTCAGCCAACATCTTACACACTCTCTCACACACCCTCGTCCACCATGGCGCCTTGCCCCCGATGCCAGTATAATCCAGACTCGTATGCACAAGTTACACACAAATGCAAGACGGGAGGAGCGATGCAAACACACACAGTCACAAGGATACCGCAGCTTCTGGCATCCTGCCTGAGGAGGCCTGTCCAACTTTGTGTTCTGTGATCTCAGCCTGCTGTTAACCTTCTGACTCGGTTGAAAGATCACAGCGTTTTCACCGAAAAACAAAGTCAAAGACGTTAAAAGTTGAGATAACAGTCCAATGGCTGATATTTCCTCTGTGGCTCTGTGTTTATGTTTTCAGAGGGGTAACACGTCTCAGAATTTGAAACCAGTGGCGATTTTTTTCCAGACCCACTTCCTGAATAGTTGACCCCGTTTTGGGTTGTTGTGGCTTTCAAGCTGCGGTGCTGAAATTGCACTCTTTCTAAATCATAGGTTGGATTCCTTTTCGGACGGATTAAAAATGGCATCGGGAAAATAGCTTCATATTAAAGGGGATCGTTTGCATTCGCTCGCTTGCAAACTTTGAAACTACAGCCTTGTAGGTCGGTTTGATGTGGGTAGACAGAAATTCAGAAAACTTTTCCTGAAGTATTGGCGACACACCAACACTGTTTTGTGGGAAATTTCCGATGACCTTATTTTTTATTTTTTTGTAAATCTTTGATCTGTCGATACTGACTGAAAACAATTCTGATTTTTCTGTATTCTTATAAACTCCTGCCACAGTCACACATCAGTTATTTATATTTTAGAAGCAAAGGCGATCTCACAAAGTTTGCTGTTGAACTAAAATTTGAGTACACTTAAAATGAAGACAAAACAATTAAATTTTCAACTGTTTTAGCATCTTTTTGGTTAGCATCGTTAGCATTAAGCAGCAGAAGATGGAGATTTCTCAAAAATTTCTAACATTTCCAAATAAGAGTGCGCCCCATTTACACACATATTTTGAAAACAACAACACTTTGGTTTGTTCAGCCTTCCTGTTATCAGATAGAATTCTTGATCTCTTTCATAAGAAGTAAATTTTCCACATTGATACTGAAAGAGTCTTCTTCTCTAGGTAACTGCATTGATGTCAAAGAGTTTTGTTTTTACTGATATAAAACAAACTGGAATTCAGCGTTTCAGACAGTCAGTCAGCCATCCTCAAGCTAAAAATCGACATCTAGTCAAAAGATTTCTCAACAAATCTCTCCACAAAGATCTAAAATAGTTAGCATGCTTTTGAAGTCAGTTTTGATTGATTCATACAGTTATGTGTTTTTGTTGTATTCCTAATTTTGCATACCTTTTTTTTCTGATGCACCATCTTTAAGGTTTCCACGTTCAGCGTGGTTTCAAAACAAGCACAGTGCGTTGCTGAGACCAATGAGATGGTGGGGGTTCTACAACAATAGAGGCATTATCTCTCCTGTCATGGCATTAACAAATATTCAAAGACACCCAGGAGGAGATCAGAAGAGATCAGAGCACATTGGACACACACAGCAGCTTTCACACTCTCTGGCTCCTAGGATCACTTTTCAATCAGTCGTACATGTAAACCTTAGTTTGAGCCAGAAAGTCAGAATCTTCTGACCACATTTAGGTGCAAATGTAAATGTCTGTGTGCTCTTGGGAAGAGGAGTACCTCCAGACCAACATGTTGACTCAAGCGTTTCGCGGACAGACACAGCAGCAACTCCAAAAATTGTACAAAACAGACTTTGAGGTTTCACATTTATGCATACACAGCACTGACCGACAGCAAAACTTTGCACTCATGAAAAATAGCATGCAAACTGCGGCTAGCTCAGTCATTCTGACTTATGCTTATTCAAAGCAAATTGACTGTACACTCTAACCAAAAACAAAACAAAAAACTGTTTGCACAGATATTCCCAAGACAAATAAAACAACAACAACAACTCTCATCCGCTGAACCACTTGTGCAGCTCTATAAAGTCTGGATGCTTATCTGAAAGCAGAATCCAGTTTAATTAGTACAACAGAAACCTCATAGTCTGAAGTCCAGCATGAAGCATAGGTCAACACACACTGAACATTTGGGAGGTTTCGAGGACTGAAGAAACACCCTGCATCTGATAAGAGGAGCTTAAAACAGCTTGTCAGAGTGGAACAGGCCAATGTAGAGAGCTGCTATCTCTGCTGAACTCTGCACCTCACGTACTTTGACACCAATAAGACAACAACAGGTATGAGGTGTGAGCAAGGAATGCATTCGACACTGAAGGACATTCCTAAGTCAGACTTGTTAACCCGTACTTAGATCACATGGATCCTTTGTCATCCATTGCAAGTGATGGTTTTACATGTGCTGCACAAGCACATGTAAAACCATCACTTTTCATTTAAATACTTTTGGTTACACCCATACATGCTCTCAACCACTAACAGATCCATACGTAGAGCTAATGAGACCTGAGTAGAGCCAACAAAACTGCTAAGTGAAGCTTTTTAGAGAAGAAAATGAAACCAAGAAAAGATCTCAGCCACCATCTTTGTTGTAAGGTCAAAAGAAAATCTCAGAGGTCAAAACTCACACATTTACTAGTTTAGAAAGTTCTTCCTGTTACTCCTGATTTTGGTTTCGGACTTGCTGCAACTCTGTTGAATTAAGTTAAAAAGTTAAAGTCAGGAGTAACCTTCCAAGGTTTTGGTTTCATTCTAACAACTGATGCACTAAACAATCAGTCAGTGATCAAAATCAGCCTTTTTTTTCTTTTATTAGCAGGTTGGATATAGACATCCTGGCTTTTTATATATTTTTATTAAACTTCTGATTAATAAAAGCCCACTTATTTTGAAAAGACACATTTATTTTAATGCAGTCTTTTTAAACAAAACATAAAAGTATACAGTAAATGTAAAAAAACAAAGTTCAGTATGGATGAAATCTGTTATGCATAAAGTGAAAACTCCCACCTTTTCTGTCTTTAAAACACATAATCAAGTAGCATGTTCATAGGTAAACTAATTCTAGTTTAATTACAATCAAATAAAGGTTAGAAACTTGTGAGTGGATAGTTCTATCCTCAAACAAAGCCAAAAATTGGTAGCAATCAATAAAGGGTCCATTTTTAGTTCTAACAACACAAACACAAAATAAAGTGAGCTTCACAGAAGCAGGCATATTTTAGCATTTTTCTCATGACAGTTGAACAACATAATCAACCACTTACTTATACTTAACACATTAGTGTGTTTGACGGTTATTGAACATTGTTTTAACAGCCCTGGTAACTCACAGCCAATTCATCATGCAGCTTTCCCACGTCATTCACATAGCGGGAAAAGTGCTCTACTAAAATAACGAGGAAACAGCCCAGAGTCCAAACAAACGCTTGAGGAAGCGTGCGGGTCAGAAGGGGATCCTGCAGCCACTTTAGGCAGACCCAGTGACCATTACAACAATCTGATAAAGGAACCAGAGCCCAAACCAGATTCACGGATAAACAGGTTCTCCAGCAGTGCATTGAAGCAAGGGATGGCTTGTGGTTTCAGGTTGGTGTCACAAACACACCTGCTGCTTATTTGATGGGCTAGTACAGTATTAACCCAGAGACATAAAAAGGATCGAGACTTTATCTCCTCTAAGCTCACACACACAGTTTCTGTTGTCTTCAAACCTAATTCAGCGCTCCTAAAAATTGTTAGAAAGAACATTAGTCTTTGCAAACAATGGTCTTTCCAAATTCTCCCTAGATATGTATGTGCATGGTTTTGTCCTGTTTGTTTCTGTGTACTTTTCAAGACTGTAGGAACGCCTTAGACTGCTTGTCAGAAAAGATTTTAAAAGCTTGTTGAAACTTTCCATAGTACCGTTCCTACTTCTTTTAATGGGATCTGGAGTGACCGGAGCTTTGTTTACAGGTTGGACCACACACACAGCACAGACCCTCTCCCACTTGTTTCTGCACATTGCCAGAAAAGCTCAAATATTCCACACAAAACGTACTTGAGGAGTATTATTTACTTCATTCTATTTTCATTTTTGCTTAAGTTTACATAAAAACAAACATTATATAAAACTGTAATCCTGTACTTTACATTACTTTTGTATATTATACTGTTTTTCTGCAACTTTTGGCAGGGTAAATAAAATAAAGTAAAACACTTATCCCTTTATTTAATTTCAACGTGAATTACATAAAATCACAAAACTTCACCAATTACTACATGGAACATTCTAACTTTATTTCAATATTTTCAAATCTGACCATATCGCTTCTGTAGGAACAGCAACTAAGGTTAACCAATAATTTGAGATGGTAGTTATGCTTTCAGCTGCCAGATTACAGCCAATGAAGGGAGGAATAAAGCCTTTTTAAAAATAAAAAAAAAACAGTCTGGCCAAACATCAAGCTCCACACACACACACACACACACACACACACACACACACACACACACACACACACACACACACACACACACACTCAAAATCCATAAGCAGACCACACGCCTGTTCCACATTATGAGCTTCTTACTGAGTCATAACACAGTTAAAAAACAGTGGAGGCTGACTGTAGAGAAACCATGCTGTGCAACCACAGGTGCTGGGTGAGTAATGTTTGCTTCTTTCTGACTGCCAGCCTAATTATAAACTCACATGGGCGGTAAACAATAACAACAACAAATGCAGTGACTCCACAGGGAAGAAATTGGACAATATTATTATTATTGTCACCTCGAGAGGCTAAGCTTTGCATTTGTCTTTCCAAGAACCAAAAACTGTTAGAAACGTGTTGATGTCACGCTGTTTTTAGGCTGTTCAGTCTTTTTGTGATGCTTAATATTTTTTAAAATGTATGCAAGTACATTGTCTAAGGAAAAAAAATCAAGTGAAAACTTTAAGGTGCAGCTAAATGTAGACATAACTCTTAAGCAAAAGAGGAAAAAAAAACTTACCTCTTACTTATGGCGCTCAAAGTCCGAATAAAAGCGTTTTCACTCGAAAAAGAGCTATTTCTATCTAAACTACCTACAAAATCTTCGA